TCGTCGCCGTCGCCGTCGCCGTTGCCGTCGCCCCCGCCGCTGCGCTGGCGCGCTCCTCGAGGAAGGCGGCCAGAGGCCTGGCGCCTCCGCTGCCCGCTCTCGGAGGCATGCCGGGACGGTCGCCGCCGCCGCCGGATGCGAGGCCGGGCAGCGCCACCCAGCGGCTCTCGTGGATCTCGGAGGCCTCTGGCGGTGCACTCTTGCCATCGCCGGCCAGCTTGCCCAGGCGAGGTCCGGAAGCCTTGCCGCCCATAAAGTTGGCCAGCGAGACGGGCGAGTCCGAGGCCGACTTGGGCCCGGCGGCGACGCCCGTGGGGCCGTACTGCCCGCCGTACCGCGAGAGGAGCGAGTTGGCGCGACGGACGTGGGGCGAGCCAAGGTTGGGCGAGCCGATGGACGACGACGACGACGGGGGCTTGTCACGCTCTGCGGCGGCCGAGGCCATGCCCTGCTGGTGGGCGGGGGGCGCTCCGATCATGGTGCCGTGGGCGCCTGCGAGGCTGCGGGCGGGCGAGGCGGGCGGAAACTCGGAGACGGGCGAAGAGAGGGGCGAGTCGGTGATGCCGCGCACGCCCGAGGTGCTGAGACGGTTGCGTCGGCTCTGCCGCTCCTGTCGCTGCCTGTGGAAGTCCTGCTCCAGTTCCGAGGCGCTCGAGATGGGCGAGGCTGCCGCTGCTGCTGATGTTGCTGATGCTGCTCCTCCGGCTGCACGGATCGGCGATGCCGACGAGGTGGTGTTGTGATGGTGGCTCGACGTGAAGGATTGGTTGCGCTGGCGGACCTGGTTGACCCAAGAGGCGAGCTCCGACGTCGGCGGCGAGGCAGGGTCAGAGGGAAACGGTCGATTGGCGCTGCTCGTCGTCGTCTTGGCGGTGCCGGTGTGGGTGTTGGTGTTGGGGTCGGTGTCGGTGGTGTGTCGAGAGAGGGGATTCATCTCGGTCGTCTAGGCCCCTCGGCAGGGGGTCGGTGCGTCGGGCAGCGGCGCACGTACACGCACGACGCTCGTACGGCAACAGCTGGCAAGTCCAAACTGCCTGCTAACCCGGCGAGATGAAAGAAGGCGACCGCGAAACTTCGCGCCGTACGTGGATGTGACGGTAACGAGGGGAGCGCCCCGAGCAGGCAAACAAGCAAGGCTGCTAAGGCTCCTACGGCGTGCTGGCGAGAGGCAGGCTAGGAGGGCGTTTGGCGGAATCAACGCGGAGACGAGCGACTCTGTGCCGGGCGGGGCGAGACGGGGCGGGGCGGGGCTGGCCGGGAAGGATGTGATCTCGCAGAGGCGGACGCCAGACGGACGGACGGACGGAGGTGGGTCGGTGTGACGGTCTCGAGAGAGAGACAGGAGCCGACGGCGAGGCCGACGGCGGCGGGCGGGCCAACGCCTCGTGCAGCGCGGGCACGCGAAAAAAAGAGGCAGCGCCAGACTGGGCCAAGCCAGGGCAAGCAGGCGACCGAGTCAGATCCCCCACGGCCGTGCTGCCTGCCAGCAGGGGACCGTCGGATCCGCAGCGCAGACCTCACCTTCCTCACCGCCTCACTCGGCCCCGCTCTCTGCCTCGCTTCATGACCATCGTCAACGCCGAGCGTGGAGAGCAAGAGAGCGAACACGGCGTCGATCGCGTTGAGAGGAGCTGGGATGGATCGAATGGCCAGCAGGGCAGCGCGCAGTGCAGACTAGAATACAGTGGTATCGTGCGACGGGTTCGTGAAAGCGGTGACGAGGCGGAGCAGAGGGCGACCACCTATGATGCGTGCGAGTGCGAGACAAACGGGAGGGAAGGGCAGGCTCTATGTGGTGCGTTGCGCCGTCGAGGTATCGTCAGAGGCGGAGGGCGAGAGGCAGGGGAAGCTGGCGGCGGCGGCGGCGGCGGTTGCGGCGACGGCGGGCCTAGACGATGGCGGCCCACCGCCACTTTGCGAGGCGGAAGCGGGCGAGGACGATGAGGGCGAAGCCAAAGAGGGTCATGAAGCCGGCCCACATGGCGAGGCCGAGGTAGCTGCTGTGCATGGCGTCGATGAGCTTGGTCGAGACGACGGGCCCGATGAGGAGGCCCGGTGCGGCCGAGGTCCAGAGCATGCCGAGGCGCGTGCCCAGCTCGCGCGGCGTCGAGAGCTGGGCGCAGCACGCCGACGCGATGGCAATCGAGCCGCCGGAAAAGAGGCCGTAGAAGACCGAGAGGAGCATCACGCCCGCCCGCGTGTCCATCAGGCCGGGCACCGGCCAGAGGACCAGCAGCGACACCGACGAGAGGACGCCAAAGATCGACAGGCAGTTGAACCGCCCGTACCGGTCCGCCAGCGGGCCCGACGCGATCCGCCCCACGAGCGAAGCCGTGTTCATGATGGTGATGCAGCGCGAGGCCATGTCGGTGTCGAAGCCGACCAGCTTGGCATACGAGCTGATCTGAAAGTAGGGCACGAAGAAGTTGATCCAGGCGAAAAAGATGCCCGCCACAAAGATGGCGTAGTCGACGTTGGCAAAGACGCGGTAGGTTGACGTCCACGGCACCGAGGTGGTCTTGGCGCTGCTGCGGTTGGGCTTGAGGCGCGGCTTCATGACAGCGTTGGCGAGGGCGAGCATGACGCCGAGGAGGAGCGCCGAGATGCGCGTGCCCCACGCGAAGCCGAGGCTGGGCGAGGCAAAGAGGGCCGAGAGGACCAGGGGCCAAACGATGCCGCCAAACGAGGCGGCGCCGATGATGATGCCCATGGCCAGGCCGCGGCGCCGGTCAAAGTACTGGCCGACGATGGTGCACGAGGGCAGGAAGAGCATCGAGCCGCCGATGCCAAACAGGAAGCCCTGGACCAGCACGAACTGCCAGAACTGCTCGCACCACGACACGGCCAGCAGCGACGCGAAGGTGAGGATCGAGCCGACCATGAGGAACCAGCGCGGGCCGCTGCAGAGCGAGGGGAGAGCGAGGGAAAGGGTCAGCGGGGGGGTCAGAGCGGGCGCACACGGCGTGGACCCGAACCCGGACGAGCAGACACTTACAAGTCGTCGCAGAGCTTGCCAAAGACGACCGAGCCGGCGTAGACGCAGAACGTCTGGACCGATCCGATCCAGCTGACGGTCGAGGCGGGGAGATGGGCGAGCTGGTGCGAGGCGTAGTAGGTGCCAAAGACGCCGTACGACGTGAGCAGGCCAAAGTTGGTCATGATCATGAGAAAAGTGCCGGCCACGACGAGCCAGGCCTTGAAGCCGCCGTCGGGAGCCGGGCCGACATCCTCATCGTCGTCGTCGTCGTCGGTGCTGTCCTTTGAGCCCGGTCGAATCACGACGCCCGACTCGAGGGCAGCGACGACCTTTTCGAGGTCGACACCTCCCCGCTTCTTCTCGTCGATGTCGCCGCCCTTGCCGCCGTGTCCGTCGAGCGAGTGGCGCAGCGATCCGGCGAGGGTGGTGGGCGTGTCGATGGGCGAGATCGGGCGGACATCGTGCGACGTGGCGCCGGCGCTGGGCTGCCGGGCGAGGTTGAGCTGCATCTGCTCGTGCAGCCGCTGCTCCATCTCCTTTGCCGTCGCCGCCGCCGCCTCGATGCTGTCCGGCTGGCTCTTGGGCGCCAGCGACGCATCAAAGCTGCTCCGCACCGACGCCACGGCCGTCGTGGCCGCCGTCGTTGAGGCCGAAAACGTCTTGGGGTGCACCATGGTCGCGTCGCCGCGTCGAGGGCTGGTTGCTGATGCTGTCGGTGTTGGTGCGATGGGCGTCGACGATGACCGTCGCAACGAGGACGCTGGGCAGGGGGGCAAAGAGGTGCGATGAGGTGAGGTGGCGCCGGTTAGAGGGTTAGAGAGTTACGGGAGGCAGCTACGACAGCCGCCGTACCGTGGCCATCGTATATATCAATGCCGTCTTCTCTTCCCCCTGCGCGACGAAGGATCGACATCGACGGCGGTGTCGGCCATGACGGGCAGGCCCCACCAGCGAGCGAGGTACCTAAGTAGGAAGCCACCGAGATGTATGACAGAGGCACCGGGCGACGAGACCGAAATGAAGCCGCGGTGGGCGCCGGCGTGTGCGAAAAATTGGCCGGATCAAAGACCGCTGGCGAACGGTTGGTTGGCTTCGAGGACGGGAAGGAGCCGGAACAAACAGAGGGGCAGCAGAGGAGAGAGAGAGAGACGGAGAGGAAGAAACGGAGCGCCGACGAGAAATCTCCGATACCGTAGTTACCGGGCCGTCGGGTCGGGTTGCACTGCCAGCAGACGACGGGCAAGGATGGGCCAAGGCCATGGTGGCTGGCGGCGGATCGATCGACCAGCCAGGATCGCCCTATCACGAGGCTGCCACATGGCCTGCGGGTGCGAGGCCAGGGACCGCTCAGCCGGTGCGAGGGCCGTCACGACCGACAAAGCCACGCTCGGCCACCCGTCCCGACCTCTTTTCCGCCGCCAAGCCAGCCGGCCAGGGTCCTGAGTCCTGACTCGCTGCCACCATCGTTTGCACCCTCGCCATCTCTCTCATCGATTGGCTCGCCATCCCTTGCTGCCCGTCCCTCGCCTTATCGACGGTGGTGATGCAAGCAAGCCTTCGGCCGCGAGCGCCGAACGCGAAGGGTGGCCTTCAGAGGAAACCGCGCTCCTTCCACGCGCTCACCATCTTGGCAACGTGTCGCTCGTCGACCGGCCCAAAAGCCGGCTCCTGGTCCTCGCCGCCCCCGCCGAGGTCGCGGCGTGCCTCCTCCGCACCATCCCGACGTGAGTCGGCGGCCGTTAGCAGCCGCTCGAGGTTGTCGGTCTGGAAGGCGTAGGCTTCATCGCCGCCGCTCCGCTTGGTCCGAGACGCGCCCCACATCGCCCGGTAGTGGTCCAGCAGCTTCAGGGTCGGGTTGGCATCGACGCTCTGGTCGACCGACGTGGCCTCGAGCCGCTTCACCCACTCCTCTGGCGCGACGAGCTCAAAGGTGGCGCCGAGGTTCTCGGGACGGGCCAGCGCGGCGAAGATGTCGTCGTAGCGCGTCGGGACCGGATTGACCACGTGGACGAGCTCCGCCCTCGAGGACGGCTCGCCTTGCTGTCCGGAGCGCGCTGCGGGGACCGCCGTGGCGAGCCTGGCGATCACACGAGCTGCGACGTCGACGCCGATCCAGCAGACGCGCTGGCCGCGAAGGTCAGGCAGACAGCCCATCGTCTTGGCCGTGCGTACCATCAGTGGGACAGCCTCGGTCTCGTTCCACACTCCTTGGACCGTGTCGCCGACCAGCTGGCCGATGCGCAGCACGAGGGCCTCGAAGCCACCACCGACGCTGACGCTGGCGTGGCGGCAAAGCTGCTCGACGACCCACTTTGACCTGGCATACCCCATCGGGACGGCGCATCGAGGGTCGTCCGAGATGGCCTCGAGGATGGTGCCAGTCTCGGCTCCCATGGCCGCAGAGATGCTGCTGGCAAAGAGGTAGCGCGCCGGGCCGCTTCCGGCGCGGCTCTGCGTGGCGAGATTGAGCAGGTTCAGCGCGCCCTTGATGCTCGACTCAAACGAGCCCAGGGACATGTTGAAGTTGACCGGCCAGCCGACGTGAAGCACGGTGTCGGCCGATGCGACGAGGGCGTCGTAGGCTTCCCGTGCCAGGCCCAGTCGATCCCTTGCGAGGTCGGCAGCCAGGCACTCGATTTGGGCATCGGCTCCTCGCTGTCGGAGCGCGGCGATCGACGGTAGCTTGCGCAGCGCGAGCGAGTCGTCGAGTCGCCTCTGAGCTTCGGCGTCCGAGGCGGCCCTGATGAGGCAGACGATGCGGGTCACGCCACGGCGCCGGCTGAGCTGATGGACCAGATGCGCTCCGAGAGATCCCGTCGCTCCTGTCAGCACGACGACGCTGCCCAGGGCAGGGGGCCGGCTCGCCTCGATCACAGGATCGGTGGCTTGTCGAGGAAGGATCTGGGCGCTATAGTTGGCTGCCAGCCTCGTGGCTTCCAGCAATTCAGCCTGATCCCTGTCTCGCGCCCCATCAGCCTCTTCCGGAGAGTCATCGCCGGACAGCGCCTGCCTCCTCTTGAGGATGTAGTGCGCCAGCTTGCGCGCCGTCGGGTAGTTGAAGGCGACATTCGAAGGCAGCGGCGCTCCGCTCATGCCAGCCTGCTGCAGCCGGTTCTTGATGCGGGCGGCCGCGAGCGAGTCCATCCCGAGCTCGACCAGATCAGCATCGAGCGCCGCGGCCCCGTCGGGCAGCTTCAGGATCGGCTCGAGGACAGTCTCGACGACAAAGGTGAGAGCCTCGTCGATGTCGGCGATCTCGACGGCCTCCTCTTCCTGTCCCGGAGTGCGGCCGTGCTCGTAGTCGTCGTAGGCCCGCTCGATCTCGTCACGGTATGCGATGACCGTCTGCGCTCGGATCAGCGACCCCTTGTCGGCGCGCGGGAAGCGGCTGCACGGCGACAGGACGCGCACCATCTCAGGGACGATGCGCGAGTGCGAGGGTGCCTGACGATTCGCCCTCTCTACGACGGGGAGCACGGCGTGCCAGAGCGCACGTTTTCGCGCCTCTCCGCCAGTGGCACCGTCGCCGCCCACCTCGCCGAGGGCAGATTCGGAGGGGATGATGAGCACGCCGGCCAGAGCTCGGCCGGCGCCGAAGACGATGCAGTCGGCGACAAGGGGCGAAGACCGGATGACGGACTCGATCGGCAGCGGGTTGGTCTTCTCGCCGTTGAAGTGGACGAGCGTGTCGTCGCGGCGCCCGACGTAGCGCCAGGTGTGCGGCTTGATCGAGTGCGGTGAGAAGAGGTCCTTGGTGCGGTAGACGCCATCCTGCAGCGCGACGTCGGCCAAGGCTGGCCAGCCGGCATCGATGCACAGCTCGTACAGCGGCTCCTGCCCGGCCTGGACCGCGTCGTTGACCCGCTGGAAGCGTGCGAACGGTATCGCTGCCGGGTAGAGGCGGAGAAAGTCCCAGTCCCGCTCGCGCTCAAAGTCTCGCGCGCTGTTGGCAAACGAGCCAAACTCGCTCGCACCGTAGATGACGACGAGCCTGACGCCGCGGTCGACGAGCGCCTCTCCGATCTCAGTGGGGCAGGCGCTGCCGCCGAGGATGACGCGGTCGAAGCGGGCCAGCTCACGCACGGCGTCGACATGCTCGGCGAGCATCTTGACCAGCAGCGGCACGCCGATGAACCAGGCGCTGCCGTGGGCCGACGATGCCTTCATCATGGCTGTCAGCTCGGCGGCGTTGAGGATGCCGTGGGTCAGCGTGGCCTTGCGCCCTGACGCGATGCAGCGCCACAGGCAGATCTGACCAAAGTGGTGGAACAGCGGCAGCATGTGGAAGAGGTCCGGGAAGCGTTCGGCGGTGAAGAGCGCCATCTGCGAGGCATGGCTGCGATCAGGAGGGGCGACAACAAGTTCGACGGCGGAAGAGTCAGCCGGGGCCGCTGTTGGCACGCTTCGAAACCACTCTGGCGGTCCTCCCGCACGCAAGGCTCTCGCCGCTCACCTTAGACGCAGCGGCTTCGGCAGGCCGGTCGATCCGCTCGAGTGCATAATCATGAGGCAGTCGCCAGAATCGACCGTGACGTTCGGGGCGGCACCTCCATGCCCGTCGATTGGCTCTGATCCCGCCGACTTCAGAGCGCCCAGGTTAATCTGCGGGCCCACAACAGGCGATGCACCTCCTCGAGCGCACAACTGAGCGGCCGCCTCGTGTGCGACGGCGGCATGGTCCACGTCGTGGAAGAGGAAGGGAGCCGCGGTGGATTTGACGAGGTGCGCGAGCGCGGCGGCGGAGCTGTTGGGCGAGAAAAAGGCCGAGACATGGCCCAGCTTGAGGATGGCGATCTGAGCGACAAGGATATCGAGGCTGGCGTTGACGATGAAGCCGACCACGATCGGCTCCTGGCCGAGCCCGCGGCGAGCGATGCTGGCGGCGTAGGCGCGCGACAGGCGCGAGGCGACGTCGTCGATCTGGCGGAACGTGTAGCTGTCAAAGCACTGCTCCGGGTCCAGCTCCGGGGTCGCGGCGGCGGGTGAGCGCGGAACCTCGATGGCGGCCGCGTCGGGCGTGGTGCGCACCCGGTAGTCCCAGAGCTGCTGGACCGTGCTGAATGAATGCGTGGCGACGGTGGCGGCGTCCTTGTCGGCCTCGGACGCCGCAGCAGCTGGCGCAGGTGCAGCGTGAGCCTTGTCGGGCGTCATGGCGTGAAGCTGACAAGCTGTTTACGCAAGCGGTACGAGGGCTACATGCACCAAAGGGGGCAGGCGAGCGGGCATATGCAGGGGAATAGGGGCGGATAGGGGGGCCGTCGAGAGCGCGCGAGGCTGGGGGCCTTGGTGTCGGGAGAAGTGGAGCGGGACGGGGGCGAAGCAGGTCGAGCCGAGTATATGTACCCGCGAGCACGCCTGAGGTCGCGATGGATGGGCCGGTCGAGCGCTGCTGCTGCTGCCGCTGCTGCGTGCGGCACCATGGCTAGCTACTCTAGCTGTGGCTTGGCGGAAACGGCGCTGGGCTGCCGGCTGTCGCCCCACCACCGTACCGTTCGGGCGCGGCCGCCGGCTTGGCAGGCTAGCCGCCGCCCTAGCCCGGCGGCGTCAGCCAAAGTGAGCCCCGCCCGTGCCCCTCCGGACTTGGGTCCGGATCAGCCAGCCAGCCAGCCAGCCAGCCGGCCTGGCCAGACCGCAGCATATCGCTGCGAGAAGCCGAAGCCTGGCCGAGACTGTGCCAGAAGCCAGAGGCTGCGCGAATACATCACCTGCTCTGCCCCCAACTCTTGCCTCTGCCGTCCAAAGAAGCTCGGCGCATCATCTTGATTGGGAGAGCTCCTCGACACCTCGCTCGACCCTCGCCATCCTGTTGACCGTTTTGACCGGCGCGAACGGGACGATGACGCCCGGGGAGCGAGGGTGAGCAAGGGTCGACGACGACTCTGCCCGTGGGCAGCCGGCTCAGCCGTGGTGCGTGCGCATCGCATACCACGTACTTCGCTTTGAGAGAGCGGCCAGGCTCGACCGGAATCGACCGGTGCATGCCGTCGAGGATTCGTTGCAGCTAGGCACACGCTAGCTAGCTTTCGATTGCCTACCTTCGCTTGCGGGGCCGGTCCGAGACCGGGGCCAGATGCACGCTCGTGTCCACCAACGGTGCGGTGCGGATCGACCCGGGATCGCCGCGCTCAGAGGTCTAGCCAGGCCTGGCCTGGTCTGGCCTCGCCTTTGGCCTCGACGGCGTGTCTCGCAACGCAAGCAGAGGCTGAGCTTCCTTTTCGCCTCGCCTGATCTCTCGGACCAGCCCAAGGCAGGGACAGCATCCCATCCGGGCCGGACCGGGGTCGGTCGGGCCAACGCCGAGCTTGCGATCCGGCAGTCACCCCGGTGCATGCATGAGATATAATGCCGTGACGAGCTAAGCAAGGTTGGCTCGCACGCCAAACGCTTTATTGCGTCTCGTTCATGGCTCGGCGCTAAACCTTAGGCCTGGCGTGTGCGGGCGGTCCGGGATCGATCGACGAGCGAGGACACTAGTACTGGGGGAAACGTGTCCAACGCTCGCTGCTTCCAACGCGCGCTGCGCTGCTGGACCACGTCGTACGTGGTTGCAAGCAAGGCCTGGCCTGGCCTGCTGGTCCCAGCACCTCTTCATGCGCTGCACCAAGATCACGGCCTGCAATATAATGCTTCCAACGTGCGTGTGTTCAACACGTTCCAACGAGCACGGCGGAGGCCTCCAGTGACAGGCAGCAGTCGCCACTCCGGCTCAGACCCACCAGAACGGCCAGCATATGCATGCATCCCACATCGGACGAGCGGCGGTGCTGGCTGGTCCAGGCCTCGCGACGGTCACAGCATGAGGAGAGCAAGAGGAACGGGGGGGTATGGCAGAGCAGCATGCGAACAGGACAAAGAGGAACTCGACGTACATCACCAACCAGCACACGGGGTGCGTCATTCGTCCACCGACTCGTCATCATCGTCATCGTCATCCTCCTCGTCGTCGTCGTCATCATCGTCGTCCTGGCCTTCGGCTTGGTCGCTCTCGTCGTCCTCTGACTCGTCGGAAGACTCCTTGGCAGCACGACTGCGACGACTGTGGATGCGAGAGCGGATGTCGCAGTGATGGAAGCGCGGGGCGGCGTGCGTCGTCAGCTCCTTTTCCTCTGCGCCACCGAGAGGCCAGGGGAACGATGGCCTCGCCTCGTACTCACCTGGACGGCTTGGTGGCGGCCTTGGTCGTCTTGCCGCGCCCGCTGGCAGCACCGCGTGTCGTGGCGGCGGCCTTCTTGGTGGCGGTGGCGGTGGCGCGCGACGACGCCGCCGGCTTGGCGGAGCGGTTCTCGTTGAGGTCGATGTGGCAGGATTCGAAAAAGTCGCGCAGGCCGGCCAGCTCCTCTGCCGACTCGACCAGGTCGAGCTGGGCGCCCGCCTTGGCCGCCTCCGGGTACGCCTTGGCGAGCGCTGCCTCGTAGCGCCCAAAGGCGTTGCGCGTGACGGTGTCGTCGAGCGGGTTGAGCTGCTTGAGCATGGCGTTGAGGATGAGGAGCTCGCGCACCTTCCACTCGTCGAGCTCGTCGGGCAGGTAGAGCTTAGCCAGCAGCTGGCACATGGTCTTGCGCTCGTCACGATCCTCGATCCGATACATGGCCCGCACCAGGTCGGCGCCAATGTCGACGTGGACTGCGTCGTCGCGCGGCCGGCCGTCGGCCGAGAGCACCTTTTGCGGGTCGCTCCACTCGAGCAGCTGCAGCCCGACCTGCGCCGGCGTCACCATCTCCTGGTCGTCGTCCTTTTCCTGGTACAGCTCGCTGAGCACCTGGAAGACAAAGACAAACACCTGCGGGAGGGTGCGCACGGCGGGCCAGAGGCGAGAGGTCATTGTCAAAGAGAGGAGGGTGGCAAAGAGGATCGTCAGAAGGGCGACTCGGTGCTGCGTCGGCTCGACCGCAAACTCACCCTCTGGAGGCGCCGCTGGTTGGCGCTCGACGACAAGCAGTAGACTGGGATAAAGTAGCTGAGGCACTGGCGCAGCTCCTGGTTGTCCATCGTGTCCGGGCTCATGTAGACGAGGACGAGGCTCTTGAGCGCCTCGTCGTCGTCGACCATGCCGGTGAGCATCAGCTTGGCCATGCCCTCGCACGCGGCGCTCTGCACCTTGGCGTCGTCGTCCTCGAGCAGCGAGAGGAGGTACGAGGTGATCTGCTTCTTGGCCGTCTCCTCCTCGCCCTCGCGCCGCGAGCAGAGGTAGGCGAGCGTGTGGACGATGAGCAGGTCAAAGATGGCGCGCACCGAGCACAGCCGGATGGCCTCGGTGCCCTTCTGCACCTGGTCAAAGAAGAGCGGGAAGGTGTCGAGCGCCAGCTTGCGGTCGAGCAGGCAGCAGAGCGCTAGGCACGTCAGGCCCTGCTCGCGCACCGTGGCATTCTTGGATTTGACGGCCGGCGCAATCAGCTGCGGCACCAGACCGTGCACCGCCGGGTTGTCCTGCAGCTCGCCCACGACGCGCTCCAGCATCGCCCGGATCAGCAGCAGCCGGCGCGACTCGAGCGCCGTCTCGTCGGCCGAGGGCTCCTTGGACCCGCCCTTGGAGCGTCGCTTGCCGCCGCGGCCGCCCTTGCGCCTCCGGCCGAGCGTCGCCTCGCCGCCATCGACGTCCATCGTGTCCTCGAGGTCGCCTCCGTCGTCGTCGTCCTCGTCGTCATCTTCCTCGTCTTCCTCGTCATCCTCGTCCTCGTCGCCGTCACCGCCGAGCACCTGGACCATCTCGACGATCATGCGCATGAAGTCGGTCTGGCCGCTCGAGAGCTTGCGCAGCACGTCGAAGCAGCTCGGGACGAGGTCCTCGGGCAGCTGGGTGAACGAGATCATGTCGCGGACCAGGCCGAACATCTTGCGGCGGCCGATCTCGTCGCCGTAGTCGGACGAGAGAGCGATGCCGAGCAGCTGCTTGATGGTGAACGTCTTGGTCTGGATGGTGGCGGCGATCATGAGCTGCTCGTCGGACACATCGTCGGCGTCGAGGATGGGCTGCTGCTGCTCGACGAGCGCCGAGAGGTCGGCGTACTCCTTCTGGATGCGGAAGGCGAGCGCGGTGACGAGGGGCAGGCACTCTTCGAGGCGGCGGTCGTTGCCGGCCTTGCGGAAGTGGTCGATGACGGCGCAGGCGAGGAAGGCCGTCGAGGGGGTGAGGTGGGCCCAGAACTCCTCGGCCTCAAAGGTGATCTGGTTGGCGATGGCGGGGCGCGCCTCGAGGACCGCCTGGAGCGCCGCCTCGACGTGGGCGGCGTTGGCGGTGACGTCAAAGTGGTTGAGGAAGCGGACGAGGTCGCCGCCGCAAGCGTCGAACCAGGTGATGACGAGCTTGTTTGCGGCGCGCTTGACGCTGGGCTCGCGGTCGCCCATGCCGGCGCGGAGGACGTCGTCGGCCATCTGGACGTCGAGGCCGATGCGCGAAGGGCCGCTGGCGCCGACCTCGGCCATGGCCTTGACCTGGGACTGGAGGATGGCGGTGAGGGAGCCGAGGTAGACGCAGCGGCGGTTGGTGGGGTCAATGTCGCGAAGGCGCTCCATGATGTAGGGCTGGGTGTCGGCGGTGGGGGTGAGGTTGAAGAGGGCGGCCCTGCGGACTTCGGCGCTGGGGTCGAAGCGGAGGATGTCGACGAGGACGTGCTTGACGTCGTCGGAGCGGTCACCGTCGCCGTCGTCGTCGTCCTCGGAGGCCTGCAGCTTTGCGAGTGCGATGACGGCCTGGACGCGGACGGCGTTGTCCTTGTCGCGGGCGCGGGCGAGGAGGAAGCTCTTGAGGGTCTGGAAGAGGTTCTCGTCGAGCGACTCGAGGCCGTTGATGAGGAGCGCGACGGATCCGCAGCAGCGCAGGCGGACGTTTTTGTCCTTTGCGCCGAAGCCCTTGAGGAGGTGCTTGAGGAGGAGCGAGGTGAAGCGGGTGGCGGGCGTGTCCTCTTCCTCTTCCTCTTCGTCGTCATCGCCGGCGGCGGCGTCGTTGGCCTTTTGGGCGCGCGCCGCGATGCGGAACTGCTCCTGTGCATCTGCGGTGCGGGAAGAAGGGCCAGCGGAAAGGTTTCGGTGTCAGCCAAAGGGAGGGAGGGACGAGGAGGACAAGGAGGGTGAACATGGACGCGGGCTCCGCTCACAGGTTGCGTAGGCCGCGACAAACTTGCAGATGCGGTCGGCGTTTGTGACGCCCTTTTTGATATGGAGGACGCGGTCGAGGCAGGCGAAGAAGACCTCGTTAAAGGCCTTTTCTCCGACGAGGCGGGTGCCCTTTGGCGTCTTTTCGGTGACGGCCGAGGCCTTTAGGTGGATGCGGTGGAGGGAGACGATGTTTTTGCGATGGTTTGCGAGCGAGTGCTGGGCCTCTTGGAAGTGAGGCGGGACCGAGGCGGGCAGAGACGCGAGCGTGGTGTTGGTCGTCGTCGTCGACGGCGGCGGCGGTGCAGCAGGCTGCTGCTGCTGCTGCTGCTGCTGCTGCTTGGACGACGAGGGGCGGGTTGGCGCCCTGGCCGCAGCCACGGCGGTGGGCATTGTGGCGTGGTTGGGCCGAAGTTGTGCAGGGAGCAGAGTGTGGCGGTGGCAAAGTGCGATACGACAGCGAGGATCTGGTTGGCAGAGGCGGCCGGCCTGGTGATGGTGATGGTGGTGGTGGTGGTGGTGGTGGTGGTGGTGGCCGTGTTTGAAGCGAGCGGAGTGTTGGTCTGGCCAGGCCGTGTTTGTTGCTCTGGCGCCGTTGGGCTGCGTTGTGCGCGCGCCGCGTCCTTTGGGCAAAGGCTGGTCTCCGAGTCCCGAAGTCGGCCCTGGATTTTTCCTGCCTTCACGTGCCTCCACCTCGCCTGCCAACGTTGGTTTCGCCCGTCGCCGCCTTCTTCGACTGCTGCTCCTCCTCCTCCTTCTCACCACCACCACCACCGCCTCCTCCTTGCCGTGCGCCTCATTCTCCTCCTCCTCCTCTCCTCCTCCTCTCCTCCTCCTCTTCTCGCCGTCCTCATGCCCACTCACGCCCTATCCCGGGCGCAGTCCGACTTTTTCCTCTCGGGCCTCACCGCCGACCCAGCCCAACGCCACGATGGCCGCTCCCTCCTCGCCTTCCGACCGCTCCACGTCGAGTCCGACATCGCAGCACAGGCAAACGGTTCAGCAACCGTCAACCTCGGCGGCACGCACGTCGTCTGCGGCGTAAAGGCAGAGGTTCGCTCCTTTGCAGACGACCTCGAAGACCAGGAGGCAGACGACCTCGCAGGCGACGACGACTACGACGACCTCGACGCGGACCAGGATGGCGACGGCACTCCCTCCACTGGCAGAGGCAAAGTCAAGTGCTCCATCGAGTGGTGAGTCGCGGGGCGCCGCCATCCAGGACCCTGCCGTGATGTATCTCATTCTCAACCTCGCCCTCTCCGATCCCCCTCGCACCGCAGCTCCCAGTCGATCCTGCACACCTTCGACGCGCGCCACATCGACACCCTCACCGCCTCGCTCACGTCCACCGTCTCGTCGGTATTCTCGGCACGCTCCTCGCCAATACCTCTCTCGCAGCTCGTCATCATCCCACGCGCAAAGCACTGGACACTCTACGTCGATATCCTCGTCACCTCGCTCTCGGGCGGCAACCTCTTCGACGCCGTCTTTGCGGCCATCTTTGCCGCGCTCTACGGCACCCGCGTCCCCACGACGCGCGGAGTCGCCTTCGAGGCGCCCTCGACCGTCTCGGCGACCGGCGACGACGGATCGACGCGCGGCGCATTCGAGAATGTCAAGGGCGACCTGGACCAGATGGGCATCAAGGGTCTGCTCAGGAGCAACAAGGAGGCCGCACAGGCCCGCGGCGCAGCAGCAGGCGACGGCGCAGGGACAAAGGCGGCCAGCAACAAGATTGTCGACTTCGAACTCGAGAACCAGCAGGATGAAGGCTTCCGTCTCGAGGCCAGGGAAAACGTCCCGCTCTGCATCACCGTCAACGTCGTGAGCATCGCCGGCCTCTTTCCAGCAGCAGAGGTAGCGGCAGCCTCGCTGGTCTCCGTGTTGTCGTCGTCGTCGGTGCCTTTCCTGACTTCCCTCCTCCCCCTCTCTCGCTCTTTCTCTCTCTCTCTCTCTCTCTTTGTTTCCGTCGGTCGCCTCACCAGCTACCAAAAACCTATCTGCTCGACGCGACCATCGACGAAGAGGCATGTATACCCTCGCGCGTCCACGTCATTGCATCACGGACGGGCCGCATTCACGCGGTAAAGGTGCAGGGATCGCAGGAGATTGCGTCCGGCCGGATCAACGAGGCCATCCGCATCGGTACCACCCAGGCCTCCAGGCTCGCAGACGCCCTCAGAGCACAGCTCGATGCAGAGGCCGGCGACGACGAAGACCAGGAGGAGGGGGAAGAGGGAGAAGAGGTCGACGGTATGGCGCTCGATGTTTGACTTCGAGATGCGATAAACTGAGCGGCATCCAGGGCTTTTCTTTTCCCTCGAATTAAACACGTTCTTTTCCACATCCCTGTCGTCCCTGAGCTCCCCTCTCGTCCCTTTCTGCCCTCAAAAACTCAGCTCATGGATAGCCTCGGAGCCGCACGGCACGTAAGCTGTGCGCTCGGGGATCACCCACGAGCCACCAACTCGAGCACGTCGTCGGGAAGAGCGGGCTGGTCGGCCCACTCGTGCCACCACTGCTCGACGTCGAGGGCGCGCGCCGAGTGGGCGGGCGTCGGCACGGCAAAGATGGCGCTCGCCAGCCAGCGCACCCTGCCCTCACCCTCACCCTCACCCTCACCCTCACCCTTGCCCTCGCTCTCGCGCTGCAGGCTGATTTCCGCTCGGAGCGAAGGAAAGAGGGATCGAGGCGTGCAGATGTTGGAGCTGGCGTCGCCCCGGACGCACTCGCCCTGGCGTCGTTCTTGTCGTCGCTTTTGCTGCTGGTCTTCGGCTCCCGACGCCGCCGACGACGACGATGCGGGCAGCTGGTCGGACAGGTCCAGGATGCCGACGACGCCCGCCTTGCTGCTCGCCAGCGCCGCGCCCTCTGCCTCGTACCGGCACTCTGCTCGGATCGCGTCCGTCGACGACACCAGGGGAAGCAGCCTCTGCTCTCCCTCGGCCTCGTTGGCGTGCAGCGCGTAGGCCGCGTCGTTGAGCAGCATCGTACCCTCGTAGCCCCGGCCCGCGCTGTCAGAGGGCACGAGCTCGAGCTTGTGCACGCGCAGGTACCAGAACCGGTGCCGTCCCTCTGCGCCACTCTCGCCACTGCCGCCAAGCGCCGACGGCGGATAGAGGAACGTGGTGCACCTGACGCCGTTGGTGACGCGCCACGACGACTTCATCCTCCCGCTCGCGTGGCCCGCCTCAACGTCAAAGCTCTGGCGCTTGACGGTCCACTGGTCACTCTGCGGATCCAGGCAGACGGCGAGCGTGCTGTCGGCGCCGAGCTGCTGCAGCCCCCAGATGCCCGTGGGCACGCTGTAGCCAAACGCCGACGAGTAGGCGTCCTTTGCGTACTTGGACGAGCCGGCGCGCATCGGGTAGTGCGGCGACTGGCCCGCCGAGAGGAGGAACGTGTGGTGCAATCGGCCCTTGCTCGCGCGCAGCAGCGTGTGGCCGATGTGGGGCAGCGAGACCTGCTTGGGCAGCGAGGCGATGGGCAGCGGCTCCTCGGTGGCCGTCCAAAAGGCATGGTCGGCCGGCAATGCGAGCGGAAGGTAAGAGAGGCAGGCCCAGTACGGCGAACCGGGCGAGTTGTAGTCCTCGGTCTGCAGCAGCGGGGTCGAAGGGGGCACGCCTGAGAGTTCAGCACTCGCAGGATCTACCTTGTCACGCAGCGGAGCAGAACAGCGAACGCCACGCGGGGGGCACCCACCAGGAACTGGTTGTTCGAGTAGGCATACCCGATGCTGAGGATGCCGCCCTCGTTGAAGATGGGCTGGGCGCTCCACCAGCGCAGGTGGCGCAGCAAGAGGCCCTTGACGATGCCCCAGTTGAGCGATGCCGGCAGCTCGATGCCAGCGAAGGCGGCGGCGGCCCAGAAGCCGGCCTGGGCGAAGCGGTAGGTCATGCTGCGTCCGAAGGGGATCGCCCGGCCCTCGGGGTCAAAGTAGGGCACCATGTCGCTGTTCGCCAAGCGCCAAGCCACCAGAGCGGGACCGTCAGCACGGACGGACGTCAAACAAGGTTCGGAGAATCAGCCGATGCTCGGAGATTTTCTTTGCCGCGGCGACGTCGGCGAAGGGCGCAACTCACCTCGCGAACTGCTGGGCCCTCTGCCCAAACACCTTGGCCCTCTGCGGGTCCGAATCCTCGGCCAGCTTGGCGTAGACGAGGGGCACGAGCTGCAGCGCGAAGCCCGTCGAGTAGTAGTCGCACTGCATGTGGCCGTCGGGCACCACCGTGACGTCCTCGCCGCGGAACGCGGTGCGGGTCCCATCGGCGCCGGCGACGACCGAGCGGGGCTTCTTGGGGCCATCGGCCGACCAGCCGCGCTCGAGGCAGAACGATTCCATGAACTCGAGGTCGGCGTCGAGCCGGCTGGCCGAGTACTCGGGCGCCCCGACGGTGCGCAGGCCCAGGTTTGCGCTGACGCGGAACCAGCGCCAGTTGGCTGGGCCGCCGAGGGGAAGATGGGGCAAGAAGCGGTGTCAGCGCGCCGGCATGGTAGGACTGCGCGGCTGACACTTGCGTCAGACCATCGGTACGCCGCCTCGATGGACTCACTGTCGGGCATCTCGCGAGAGTTGAGGCTGCCGAGCCAAGCGTTGATGTTGTCCTTTTGCCGCTGCTCGAGGGGGTGGTAGAAGGTCTCGGGGCAGTAGGCGAGTGCGAAGCCAATGGCGCACATCTCGACCATGCGCCTGAAGGCGTGCGACGGGTAAGCGTTGAAAACGAAGGCGTCAGCGAGGGGTCAGCGAGTTGGTCCTGCCCGGTCTGCCTCGCCAGCACTCACTGGTCGCGGTCCTGGCAGGTGCCCCAGTACTCTGGGCTGTCCGGATCGGTGCCGTTGATGAGGCCCTGTACCCATCTTTGGGCGCCCTGGCCCTGGAGCTGATCGGCGAGGCCGCCCTTGATGAGGGGCACGAGGGCCCAGAGCGGTCGAGAGAAGCCCTCGAGCTGTGCTGCGACCTCGTCGTAGTGGGTCCCCGTCGATCCGAGCTTAACCCTGGCGCCGCCCTTTGAGGTGAAGGGAGCGAGCGAGTCGAGCAGGAAGCGCGCCGACGAGGCAAAGTCGTCCCTGGTCTGGAATGGATTGCCGGCGAAGCGAGCCGTGGTGCTGGTGCTGTTCGACATGGTTGGGGATCCGCTGCTATCGCTGAAGAGGGCAAGATTTGAGGTGGAAGTCGTCTTTGGCGGGCAGCGGCGAGGGATCTGAAACGGGAGCAAGCAATGCAATTTTTCGTCTATATGAGCACGGTGGGGGCAAAGATCTGTGGTGTCGGTGGATGAGAAGGAAAGCAGCTGCTACGGCAGGTATCGATAGAGACGGGCAAGGGGATCCCGCCGGGGCCACCTCGACAACAGAGCGAGCTCTGGTCGCGGTGACGAGGTCGACGTCGGCCTGGATCCGCAACCGTTGACCGGCGACGTCTGCTGCCGCCATTGTTCATGTCTGGGCTGGACCCTGGAGGAAGTAGCCCTAGTGCCGTAACAAGCCGCTCGGCTGGTCCTCAGCAGCAGCAGGCCGTCGAGGCGGGGCCCCCTTGTTCCAAGCAGCTCGCGATTGCACGCAGACGCCAGCATCGCGGGTCGGATCAAGGGCTGCTGTCGGTTCGGTACAGATGGGGGCCAATAGGAGATTCGGACCGGGAAGCCGAACACGGTGTGGGGGAAGAGCATACGAGAGGCGGAACGAGGGCAAACCAGCGCAGGCAAGTCCAGCGTGCGGGACATCCGAACCGCTCACGATGAAGCGTGGCATGGCCCGGCAGGCAGGCAGGCACGCAGGGAGGCTGCCTGGCAGGTGGAAAGACAAGTTGCCGGACCACTTGTTGCCGCCGCATGACCATGATGAGGACGAGCCGGGTCAACAAGAAGGACGGATGAGGCCGTCGCGGTCGCCTTCATCGTCGAAGAAGTTGGGGCGCCAAGAGCGAGAGATCTCGTTTCGGATGCTGCCTTGCTTTCAACCAGCAGGGACGGGCGGATCCGCGCTGCTGAAGGTTGGGTTCGCGGGTGCTTGCCGCACGGAGCGCTCGGCGTTGGCCTGTCCTGCTTGGCTGCGGCAGGTGTGGGTCGAGGCGGATGCGAGCGTGCTGGCGCTTACGCTTGGCTGGCTTGCTAGTTCAGGTACCGGTACCGCACCTCGTATCGGAAAGGTCGGCGCTGGCTGCCTGGGCTCGTCCCCCTCACTCTGCTCACGCTCGGAGACCGACATGAGATTGCCGGCGGGTGGACCCATTGGATCAGTGCGGACACATGGGCGGCAGCGCGGGGGAAAGGGGGGGGGGGGCCTAAGCAGGGGAAAGCGGAAGAAAGGAAACCCGGAGACAATCGAGCAAGGCGCGGGGGGCAAATAAAGCGAAGGCCGGCAAACTGGAGTCGCCCTGTCCAGAGGCGGCCTTTGACGCCCTCCCCCCCTCCCCCCTCTCCCCCCCCATCGATCGCACCCCGTCCACTCGACACCGGTTCGCTTTGTAAGGTCAGGCCAGGCCAGTCCAGGCCAGGCCAAGCTGGGTTTCATGCCACGCAGGAGGCCAGCAGGCTAGGCCTGGCCATCACGAGCGGGCCCCCCTCTGCGATCCCGTCGCCGGCCATGAACGGTCAAGTGTCAGCGACGGCGACCGTATGTATGGCCGGTCATCTCAACCCGTCCACTGCGTCCTGCCAGAAGCGTGGGGCTCGCCAGTGGTGTCGCTGGTGTGGCAAGCAAGCTGCTTGAAGGATCAAGAAGCCGTGGGGCCCCAAGCAGGCCCACGACCCGGGCTGCGATCTTCTTGGCGTTACTCTTGATGGAGGATGGTGACGGCTCGGTCGATGGCCTCTTCTTGGTCGTCGGATCGGCCCATCCGAGCCTGGACTCACATCAGGTCCTGCTACCCGGACTGTCGGCCTGCCCTTGGCGTGCCAGGCACGGGTACTCCAAGCACGGGACCATGCACGTACATAAGATCATGCAAGCGAGCCAGCTAAGCTGCTGCTACTCGGGTGGTGCCGATGGGTGCAGCGTGCTGGCTGAGCTGCGTGTAGACGTGCGTTCGATATCCATCTCTTGCAGGCGGCCAGACGAGCGAAGCCTGGCGAGTCTCGCGCCGTATGGACGGACGGACGCGCTCGACTACCGTGCGACGACACTCCTGTCGGCTTCTCGATAGGCAGGGAGCTGCTCCCGCCCTGGTGGACTGCTTTTAAACGCTTTCTCCGTCGGGTCTTGCCCATTGTCGAGGGGACGTTGAGGCTGCTGCTGCGGCCTTTCCGATGGCAGTTCCGGGACCTTCTTGATGAAGACGGGGCAGGCTGCACACTCGAGCGTGCGCCCGATCCGGATCCACGTCCGAGACCTGGTCTGGTCTGGCCAGCTCGGATGCGGGTTTCGAACCGTCCGCCACAGCTATCTTAGCTCTTGCTTGCTCTTGCTGCGCCGGCCGGGGCGCAGCTGCAGCCCGTCCGGACACGGTACGGTGGGCCACGAGGAGCTGATTCGTCGATGGACTTGCTTAGCTTGTTGGCTGTCCTGCCTATCACGACGTGGCACGAGGGGATGCACACGGCCGCTCTGTTGCAGCTTGCAGGCCTGCGATGCGACGGACCGAGCAACCAACCAGACAAGGCCCGCCTGTCTACATCCATGGAGCGGCGTCTTCGATCTTGGTGCCTGTCTCGAGCCCAGCCGCATGCTCGACGTACGGTAAGGCACGGTGGTCGCGGGCCCCGCGCTCTCGGGCCTGACCTCCCCCCGCTCTGGCGGGCAGAAAAGTCGACGCCGCTGCTTTGCCGAAACGTCCGCCTTCCCCGCAGCACGACAACGCTTTGCTTGCCTGCCTACTGTAGGCTGCTGGTGCGTCGCCTCGCCTCGCTCCGCCTTGTCTAGCCCCGACTCTGCTTGCCGTCGCCGCCAGTCGTGTCGGCGGCGAAGGCGGCGGCGCGGCTGTTGGCCCACTCTGACCATCCACCGTACCCACCCACACCTACGCCCACGGAACCCTGGCGCGCCAGGCCCCTTCATTTCGCTCGCCACCGGAGGCTCGCCTCTTGGACGAGTCTCGGCTTGCTGCATCTGGGCCAGGCTTCTCGCCCTCGCCCTCGCCCTCGCCCTCGCCCTCGCCCTCACCCTGTCGTCTGCCTCGATGCCGGTACGATTCCCTGTCTCCCCCTCGTCCTCTTCAGCCCCCTTTTCCCCCACACTAGCGTGGAGACGGACGTACGCTTCCTCACCTGCTGCCGTTGCAACACGGTACAGGACCTTGGCTTCCCGCCGTCCCTTTTCCCTGCCTTGCGCTTGACCCTCGGCCCCCTTGTCGTCCACTTCGTGACGAGCTCCCGCACCTAGAAGATCGTTTGTCCACTTCCTGCCTGCTCCCCTCCACGTTGTCGGACTTTGGACCCGCTCCTCGCTCCTCGCACTGGCTGCCACGCATAAGGCATCCGTCCCCACCGCCTTCGGTCCTCGTCGTCTCAAGCCACCACGCCAAGGCCATTTTCGCCCTGAGGCGCCTCGTTAGGCCCCCGCCTTGGTTTCCCCATCCTACCCCATACCCCGCACACCTCGAACCCGGGGGGGAGAGGCTCCCCACACTCTGCTCTGCCTTCCTCTTTCCACCAGGCACAAACAGCAAAGCAAGCAAGCAAGCAAGCTAAGCAAGCGAGCAAGCGAGACCAGGCGACCCCCGTCGCATGGCAAAGGCGGCTGTCAGCGCACATTGCCCACCCTGATACAGAGCGACTACCGCCTGTCGCCTGCCGCCCGCCGCCCGCCTCGACGCCGGGTCCATACAGGTGGCCACCAAGCGCGCCACCGGATCACCGTGGGCGCCCCGCCGCCTTGCCCCGCGTCCGTTGGCCTTCCCCCCGCCCGCTGGTCCCCTCGTCCCCTTGTCCCTCCGTCCCCGCCCCCGCTTCCTGCTGCACCCCAGAGCCGGCAACCATTGTCCCAGCCGAGCGCAACCCTACGAGCCGCAACGCAAACCTTGCACGCTTCATCGTTAGGCCATCCGGTATAAAGGCGAGCGCCATCGTAGACCAACGATATCCCTTCTCTCTCCGCCTTCACCGACCCTGGTCCCTTCGCCCCGCCCCGCCCCGCACCACGCCACCGACACCACCACCACCACCACCAGCAACCGGCGTCGTCCTCGTCAAGGAACGGATACCTTTCGACGCCCCACACAGCTGCCCGCCTCCCTGCTGATACCCGGTGCACGTGTCCACCGCCCCACGGCTCGCCCCAGCGCCCACCTTCCAAGAAACCCCGAGCGAGTATCTGACGCGCCGGCACGCAACGCCGCACCACCGTCGCCAACCATGGCTTCCACGGCAAAGGAGTCGTTCTTTGTCAACATCCATGTCTACTTCCTCGCCCTGATCGCCTACTTTGGCATCTTCCTCTTCGGTGCGTCCCGTGCCCCTCATTTTCCGCCCAGCATCACAGGCCCGCCTAGCCGTCGCCGTCGCCGTCGCCGTCGCTGACCTCATCATCCTTCCCCCCTCTTCTGCTCTGCTACTCTTCACCATCATTCAGGCTGGGAGACTGGTGTCGCCGGAGGTGTCGTCTCGCAGCAGTTCTTCCTCGACGCGTTCGGGCTCAAGGACAAGAAGAAGGTCTCGTCCATCGTTGTCGCCATCCTCCAGGCCGGCGCCTTTGTCGGCTCGCTCCCCGCCCCCGTCCTCTCCAACAAGTATGGCCGCAAGAAGGTCCTCTTCGGCTACAACCTCATCATCGCCCTCGGCAGCACCCTCCAGACGGTGCCCGGCGTCGGCGACAGCGTCGTCTGGATCTACGTCGGCCGCATCGTTGCCGGTTTCGGCATCGGCGGCATCACCTCGATCGCCTCGGGCTACGTCTCCGAGTGCTGCCCCAAGAATGTGCGCGGCAGGATCACGGGCATGTTCCAGGTCATTGTCGCCGCCGGCGTCATGGTGTCGTACTTTGTCAACTACGGATCCAAGAAGAACCTCAAGGGCGCCCAGATCTGGCGCGTTCCCTTTGGCTTCCAGCTGGTGCCCTCGGGCCTCATGGCCATCGGCCTCCTCTTTGCCAAGGAGTCGCCCCGCTGGCTCGCCAAGGTCGGCCGCACCGAGGAGGCGCTCCGCAACCTCGCTTTCCTCCGTAGGAAGCGCCCGGACTCGGACGAGGTCGTGGCCGAGATGGCCGAGATCAACGCTGCCATTCGCGAGGAGCAGCTGACCCAGGTCACGCTCAAGTCGTGCATCACCACCAAGGGCACCAACATCCGCTTCTTCATCGCCTTCCTCCTCTTCGTCTTCCAGCAGTGGTCTGGCCAGAACACGGTCTCGTACTTTAGCCCGCAGATCTTCAAGTCGATCGGCTACAAGGGCGAGACGTCGGCGCTCCTCGCCTCGGGCATCTACGGTGTCGTCAAGTTCGCCGCCACCGGCCTCTGGGTCTTTTACGGCGTCGAGACCGTCGGCCGTCGCTGGTCGCTCTTCAGCTCCACGTTTGGCATGGGCGTCCTCTTCTTCATCATCGGCGGCCTGCTCAAGAACTACCCGCCCGACGCCAACGCCGCCAGCCCCTCGGCTTCGTCGCAGGCCATGGCCGCCATGGTCTACCTCATCGCCGTCGTCTACTCGCTTGGCGTCGGCCCGCTCTGCTGGGTCTACGTGTCCGAGATCTTCTCCAACGGCACCCGTCACTGGGGCCTCGCCCTCGCCTCGGCCACCCAGTGGCTCTTCAACTTCTCCCAGGCCTGGGCCAGCCCGTACATCATCGAGGACATGGGCTACAAGGCCTTCTTCTTCTTCGGCGCGCTCAACATCGGCGGCTTCGCCGTCTTTGCCTTCTTCCTGCCCGAGACCAAGAACAAGTCGCTCGAGGACATGGACATCATCTTTGGCTCCATCACGCAGGAGCAGCGCGACCGCGACATGGCCAAGGCGCAGGAGGACATCGACTACTCCAAGGCGCACGTCGGCCACCTCGACTCCGAGTCGCGCGGCCGCGACGGCGCCAGCGTCGAGGACGAGAAGAAGTCCAACGACGAGACCCGCTACAGGACCACCACGCCCTGAGCGGGCGTGTGTGTCCGTATGCATCAGCACCACCTCTTTGCTTCATCGAGTTTCCCCCCCACATGTTTCGGTTCCCTCCAAATACCTATTCCCCGCGCTGTCGACAACGATTGCGACGCGCATGACCCCGAAATCCCCGGCACGCAGAGATCGCACACATTTCTTCCTCTGTATGGTAGTCACGACAGAATGCAGCAGCATGCAAAACGCAGATTTTCACGACAGCAGGCATTGGGTTGACATTTCGAACGAGTTTGGCGTCGCCGCAGTGTGTCGCCTGTCAAAAGAGGGGAGGTAGAGGCGCGCAGCAACGGCGACGGGGGCGCGGCGGGCGCGAGAGGATCAGCGACGGCTCAAACACAGCCTTGGCCTCTCTCAGCACTTGCGGCTCTCGTACGTTTCGGGGTGAGGTATGGTGGATTCGCGAGACATCAGGTCACTGAAAAGGTCTCGAGCTCTGGTGGATAACTATCTGCTGCCGGTCTCAGCGAAACGGGTAGTCCCGGAACCGAAGCGCAGCAGAGCCGCATGCGATGCAGAAGGGATTGAAAGGGGCAAAGGAGGACGGGAAGAGGCTGAGGGCACGCGGTGTCCAACGCTGGCGCCACGCGACGCCCGGTACGTGATCGGAGCGCAAGGTCTTTCCCGTGTCAAGAAGACTGAGCAAGCGGTGACGGCGACGGCGGGACGTCAACCGTCCTCGGTCCCTCGCACGAGGCGATCCACGCCCACCAGTACTGGCCATCTGAGAGCGCGGCTGCGGTCGTTCTCCGAGGGACGGGGCGGGATGACCGCTGAGCATGCGCCCGCCCGCGGCCTTCGCCAGCGAGGGTAGCCACGACCTCGCGTAGACATCTGGCAGAGGATGCAGCTGGCCTAATTGCTGGCGACTGCACCACTCAGTGGGTAATACGCCGTGTTGCCCTCTCCCTCATCGACTGCACCGAAAGTAGAAGGCCCAAGAAAAAAAAAGAGGGGAAAAAGCACAAGGACAGCAGTGAGAAGGAGGGGGTGGTCAGTAGAGGTCGAAAAAACCCGTCATGCTCGCACAGCCACGCCCTTGGCCGGATCCTTACGGAGAACTCCTTCAACGTCCGGCAGCCTGGTGAACAAGGCGGCCATTCCCCACTCGGCGTCGGTGTACTCTTGCTCGGTGAGGGGGATGGTGAAGCACCTAGAGGGCACGTTGTTCCTGATCAGGCACGGGTGGTTGCTGGGCGTCCGTGGGCATCCGTAATCCTGAGTGACGAAGTGGCAGTACGGGCCTCCTCCAGCTTCGTGTGTGCACGCGAGATTGTAGAGGCTCTGCTGGACAGCGTCGTACGACAGCTGAAACACAAAGTTCTTCTTGTCGACGCACAGCTTGGCTGTGTGGGCCGTCGCGTCGTAGCTCAGCCTGAACGAACCGGCTTCGGGAGCCAGGTACTTGGTTACGGTCGTGCGAGTGGTGTAGGCGAGGACATCGCCGGCCGAGAATGAGGCGACGACGAGCGTGGCAAAGAGGGAGAGGGTCTTCATGGTCGCCGAGGGTAGGAGAGAGTCGCTTGCGGTGCACTAATGACTGTCTGGAAGGGAATGGGGAGAAGGAGGCATTGCGATTGGGCGAGTCCGTCTGCTTATATGTATGTCTGTGGGGGCTCTGGGGCCGACCCGCTATCGCATGCCGTGCGTATCTCCTCTTGCACTTTGCTCCTACCGTCGGCCCCACACAGCAGGTACATAGCTGCCCCACGTTGGCGGATGGCCATCCGCCCCACCCGATCGGATGCTGACTGTAGGTTTGGGTCAACTGCCGTGGTAGTAGCCGTGCCACCACCCACGCAGACTCGAAGCGGCGGCAGCGGCGGCTGACCGGTCGACTGAGAGTTGCGGACAGCACGTCAGGTCGAGCCAGGCTCCTTTGTACCTGCGTAGACGTCGGTACCCGGCCACCCGTTCCCATCGAGTCTGTGCCTGTGCGCTCGAGGAAGAGTTCTGCCCCATTCGTGGTACGGATGCGAAGCATGCACCGCCATCGTGCCTGTCGTCGTCGTACGCTCCATTGTGCGCCCACCTTTGACGAGTCCCGCCAGGTAGAGGGTGGGTACCGGATCGCGGGCCCTCACGGCTGATGCGGACAGGGACGACCGCATCGCCATCCCGGGTTGCTTTAAGCCTTGGATGAAAGCATCCGCATGTCTATCGTCGCGCTCGCCTGATCCGACTTGCAGGGGAGAAGGGACATGCCCAAACAGGGCACGGGTAGTGAGGCGCTGCCCTATAGCTCCCCTAGCCTGCCATGGTGCGAGTGGCTGGGACGACATCGAGTCAAGCGTGCCTTGACGGGTCGTACAATGCCCTCGCTACCGCGACCCACTTGGCTAGGCAAAGGCAGTGGGTCGTTCCCGTCAGCACCCGTCATCACGACGCGTGCTGCAGCTGTCGGACCAAGAGATCCGCCACCATCTCTGCAAACTCGGGATCGTTGATGTGTCGCTCGACCTTGATGATCTTGATCAGCCCCGCCTCGTCTCCCGCACGCGCAGCGCTGCTTTCGATGGCGTCGAACAGCGCCTGCCTCGCCTCGCGGTCGTCGAACGCCTCGCCCTGCTTGTCCAGCATCGATACGCCATGGAGTGGCAGCACGATCTTGACCTCCCTCGCCTTCCTGCCCTCGGACTTGGCGGCGCGAAGACCTCGCATCAGCCGCTCGACGACGCTCTCGCCTAGCCTGCGGTTCTCGTCGGGCGTCGTGCGGAGCAGCGAGACGGACTCGTTGTGCTCCCACACCTTTCTCCCGCTCGCGTTGACGTGCAGCGGCCCCGCGCCCTCCTTTGCGTCGATTTCGAGCGAAGGCGGTAGGCTCGAGAGCGGGCCGAAGTTGATCATGTCCAGCGCTCCGACCGACACGACCGTCGGGACCGCCGTGCTGGCGCTCGAGACGAGCCGGTCCGGTCCTGCGGATAGGACGCCCGAGAAGAGGTCGTCGCAGATCTCGGTCGTTGTGAGGTCGAGCACGCCGGCAAAGTACTGAGGGTCGGGAAGGGGAGTCAGCGTTGCTGCTGGCCGTTGTGAATGGCGAGGTACGGCGTCGAACTCACGTTTTCGCGAATGAGCCTCTCCATTGTCCTGCCGCCCGTGCCCGTGGCATGGAAGGCGACGGGCTCGAGTCCATGCCTCTTCAGCGCCTCGGAGGCGGCAGTGACGCAGGGTGTGGTGACGCCAAACATGCTGACGGCGATCAAAGGCCTGTCCTCGGTCCGCTGGTCGTCAGCATCGGCGCCCCGAGCTTGCGTGTGCCTCGCATGGTAGGCGTTGGCCATGCCCGCAATGGCTGCCGAGGCCGACATGAGCACCGTGCGCGTGATCTTGTTGAGCGAGCCCGAGATGTCGCCGACGCTGGGCATGAGGCAGATGTCGCTCTCGCCAATGTACTGGCTGATGTCGCCGCTGGCCATGGTGGTGAGGCAGAACTTGGGCAGGCCGAGCTTGAAGGCGTCGTTGCGCATCACGGTGCAGGCGAACGACGTGTTCTGGCTGCCCCCGAACGAGGCTATCGCGTCGATGGGCGCATCGCATGGAGGGCTGGAGCCTGATCTGAGGCGCGCACGGAGAAAGGCGAGGCAGCCATCGACGAGGGCGGCGCGGAGGTCGTGCCGTTCGAGCCGGCTCGCCTGCTCTTTGAGCTGCGCGGGAGTAGCGCCATCGTGCTTGTCGGACGAAGCGCTGAAGAGCTCGAGCGGCGATACAGTTTGGACATGCTGCAGCGCGGGTAGCTCGTCGAGGTGGGAGAAGGGCAGCCTGGTGCTGACGTCGAGGATGGTGACCGAGCAGCCGTTGGCAGCGAGCCACTGTGCGGCAAAGGCGTACTCGGCCTGCTTGGTGTCGAGGGTGCCGATGAGGGCGACGTGGGCGCGGTCTGTCTGCACTGTCTGCGCCATTTTGCCCTTCGGTCGGGGATGCTGGTCGACGAAGAGGAGGTGGTGACGACTGTGGTGGCCGTGAGGATGCTGAGCTACCACCCAGCAACGCGGATAGCATCCACCGCCACCGCAGCTGCCACGCGCACGGGCCATGCAGCGGAGCGGCTGCCAATGTGGAGGCCCGTGGCGTCTTCCGGTTGCTGCTTCCTTCTCACCACCACCACCACCACCACCGCTGCTGCTGCCACCACTGCCACCATTGCTGACACTAACCAAGGCGAATCAACCACAGCAATGTCCGAAAAGTACACCGCCCCACCAAAGGACGGCCGGGAGGCCAACGAGCGCCTCCGCCGTGTCGCGCAGCAGGGTCGACCCATCATCGGCTCGGGCGCTGGCATCGGCCTGACGGCAAAGTGCGTCGAGAAGGGCGGCGCGGATCTCATCATCCTCTACAACTCTGGCCGCTACCGCATGGCCGGGCGCGGCTCGCTCGCAGGCCTCATGCCCTACGGCGACGCCAACGCCATCGTCCTCGACATGGTGAGCCGGCCCCGCTCCTCCTCTCCATTCCCGCCCGCACAACGCTGACCGTGCTCCCGTGCTCCTCCCCGTCATCGTCGCTGCTCCCCCGTTTCGCACGGCCCACAGGCAAAGGAAGTCATCCCCGTCGTCAACCACACCCCCGTCCTCGCAGGCGTGTGCGCAAGCGACCCGTTCAGGGACATTCCCAAATTCCTCCGCACCCTCATCGACGCCGGATTCGTGGGCGTCCAAAACTTTCCCACCGTCGGACTGGTACGTCTGCCCTCTTGCCTCTGCGCCGTGCCGGCCCGCTTCTCGCGTTCCGTTTAACCCAGCGCTGATCGATGGCGCCTAAAACGTCCCTCCGCAGATCGACGGCAACTTTCGCAAAAACCTCGAAGAGACGGGCATGGGCTACGACCGCGAAGTCGAGCTGATGCGCGCCGCAAAGGAGCTCGGCCTGCTCACGACGCCCTACGTGTTCAACGAGAACGAGGCAGAGGCCATGGCGCGCGTCGGCGTCGACGTCGTCGTGGCGCACATGGGCCTCACCACGGGCGGATCCATCGGCGCCGATACGGCCATGTCGATCGATGACGCCGTCGAACTCACAGACAGAATCGTGCAAAAAGTCCACGCCATCGCGCCCGATACCCTCGTACTCGTACACGGCGGCCCTGTCTCGTCGAGCGAAGATGCACAGTACGTCCTGCAGCGCGTCAAGGGCCTCGCGGGCTTCTATGGCGCGTCGAGCATGGAGAGGCTGCCCGTCGAAGTGGCCATGCAGGAGGGCATGCGCAAGTTCAAGGCGCTCTCGCTGGCTGGAAAGTAGTCATCCGTAGCACAGAACATCATCATAATCCATTGCGTACGCAGCACGGCGACAGGGCTGGTATCTATGCAGCGCCAACGCGGGGCGACTCGGGCGGGCCCATGGCAGAGACGTCGCCCATCGGCAGCCCAATCACCACCTTCTGCACCACCAGGCCCGGCTCCAGGCCGTACATGCGTAGCGCGTGCACGTCGCCGTGCTTGTTGGCCGAACCGACGTCGAGCGTCGTCGTGTTGGTGCGCACGCCCGCAGCCGTCACGGCGTTCCAGTCGGGCGGCGCGCCACCGGGCACCGTGTCGTCTGCCACGGGCCGCACCTCTCTTCGGCTGGCGGCGTCGCCGTCCATCTCGAGGACGTACTTGAGCGGTCGGTTGCGGCGGTAGTTGAGCGTCGGAGCCAGGTAGGTCGTTACATTGACCTGTCGTGCCGTGCCGTTGCCAGACGAAGACGTCATCGACGGCGGCAGGTGGAACGTCCACTCGAGCGAGGGCGCGGTGCCGTTGTCGATCGACAGCGAAGGCAGCGTGGCGGGGAGCAGCGTCATGCTCGATCCCGTCAGACCAGAGCGCGGCAGGTGCACCCAGTCTCCCTCGCCCGATGATGCCGGCATCCTCTTGGCTTCCGACGCCGGCATGCTGAGCCAGCCCGCCTTGTCCTCGGCGCCCGGCGATGAGGGGAGGTAGGTGCCCTCTGCGAGCCCCGAAGGCGCGGGGCAGGGGAAGATGACCATCTGCACCTTGACCGGGGCCGGCGCCGGGATGCCCACGTGTCCCGTCGCGCCCTCGCCCGTCGCGTTGACGCTGACGACGCCCGTCACGCTGCGGTCGAACGCGTTGGTGGCGTTGCAGCCCCACTGCGACTCCATCCGCCCGACCTCGGCCCAGTCGACCGAAAGCGACGCCTCGATCTCGTCGTCCGAGCCTCGCGCCAGCCAGCCTTCGCTCTGTGACAGGCGCAGCCAGGTCGCGTTGCTGGCGGCGCGGAAGCGGACCTCGCTGCCGTCGGCGCCCGAAATGTACAGGGACCGGTTCTGGTCGACGTCGTACCGGCTGAGCTTCGGCAGCGTCGGGTCAGGACAGTTGTAGCCGATGGCGCAGTTGTGCTCGTTGTCGCCGGGCCACGCGCCTGCGCTGCCGTCGATGGTGACTCGCAGGTTGGACTGCGCCGAGGTGTCGGGGAACTCTTCCGTGTCGATGTGCATAAAGCTGAGCGGAGGCAGCGAGTTGCGCATCGGCTGCTGCCAGTAGGCGTAGTTGATGTGCGTTTGCGACATCATGTGGTCCCACTTGCCGTCCTCGAGGGCATGGTAGCGACGCGTAAGCTCGGCATCGTGCGCGAAGCGTCGCTGCGCCTCGGCGGCGTGTCGGTTGGCGACATTGCTCGACTGCGAAGAGCGGAGGCTGTTGCGGCCCACGGCGACGTACAGCTCGTTGAGGTTGGCCGAGGCGAGCGTAGGGAAGGCGACCAGCTGGTAGAAGGCCGACCAGTGACGCGTCCCCTCGAAGCGCGGCGCCAGATCCTCTTCGACCAGCTTGACCAGCCCTCGCCACGACTCGAGCACGCGCTCCGCCTCGCGATGCCGCAGCAGGCTCCAGGTCGTCGCGTTCACCAGCTCCGGCTTGATGCGCGCGTTGAGCTCCGAGTAGCCGTACACGACCTCAGCCAGCTTCTTGGCAACCTCGCCCCCCTCGTCGGTCGCAAACGTCCTTGCGCACCACCGTTCCACCCACGCCATCACCGCCTGCGGCGCAGCCAGACGCGACGGCCGGTACGCCATCTCCATCATGAAAGAAATCGGCACCTCCATGGGTTTTAGGTCACCGACGTTGAGGATGAACAGCTCCGTTTGCTGGTTTTTGAAGGCGACGTTGAGCTGCTCCCAGACGTTCATTAGGTTGTTCGTATTTTGCCACTTATAGGAGCGAGGCGAACCCACGTAGTCGGCGTGGTAATACGTACCGGAACCGCCTTTGCGGCTCTTCTCGACGTCGTCGGGGATGCGGCGGATCTGGCCCCAGTTGTCGTCGGTCCACAGGAGGATAACGTCGTCCGGGACGGCGAGGCCCTTGTCGTACCAGCCCTGCACCTCCTTGTACATGCACCACAGCTGCGACGCGTTGGCGGGGAGGAGGCCTCGCTGGACGCCGACGATCTTCTCGAGCAGGGCGACGCTGGCGCCTTCGAGGCCAATGTCGCCGTTGCCTCGCATGCCGACCGTGTAGACGGTGTCGAGGCCGTCGGAGCGCTGGGCGCCGTATCGCCAGAAGTCGGTGAGGTTGTCGGCGTTGACGTCAAAGTCCCACTGGCCAGCGCCCCAGGTGGTCCACTCGGGTGTGTTGCGGGCCATGGGTTCCTGGTGCGACGTGCCCATGACGATGCCCATGTTGTTGGCGAGCATCAGATTGGGTCCCGCGGCGCCGGTGCCGTTCTTGCCACCGCCGGGCAGCTTGTCGAGTCCCGCGACGGCGAAGGTGTCGTGCCACATGGCGGGCCAGAGGTAGTTTGCCCTGAGCCGGAGCAGGAGCTCAAACACGTGGGCGTACATCTGGTCGTTGAAGGCGTTGGGGTTATCGCTGGGCGGGAAGGGACCGCGGAAGTGCTTGCGAGCCCAGTTTGTGAGAGCGGGCTCCTCGTCGTTGAGGAAAATGCCGCGATACTTGACGTGCGGTGGCGGCTGGCTGCATCGCGAGGGTGAGGCCGGGTCGGACGAGGATGGGTAGTAGAGGGCGTCGTGGGCGGCGTTGGGCGGTACGTCGGCGAACCAGTGCCACGGACTGATGCCCATCTGCTCGCTGAGCTCGTAGAGAGCGTAGACGGTGCCGCGCTTGTCGGAGCCAAAGAGGACGAGCGTCGATCGGTCCTGGGTCAGGCCCGAGGACCAGGCCTCCCACTGGCCCTGGACCTTGTCGGCCTCGGAGCGGAGCGAGTCGGTTTGGCGGGTGAGGTGCTGTGCGAGGCTCGAGGCGTCGAGGCTGCCAACGGCGATGGTGAGCTGGTCGTCGCTGTCTGGGCTGCCGCTCCTCGAGACGAGTTGCGAGGTGCGCATCCAGGCCGAGGTCGACGAGACGTTGCGGGCCTCTACGTGGGATCCGGGTACGGCTGCCTGGATGTCGCGTGCGAAGCTTGCCACGGCGTGGTGGACTGCGGGGGCGTCATCGCGAGAGGTGAGGATGGTGGTGGTTTGACCTGCCCTTGCGATGAGGAAGTGACCGTCCGAGTCGGCGGTGGCTGTGGCGTTGGCGGCGAGGATGCAGTGAGGTCTATCGACTGAGGCAGAGGCAGGCGCGCCCAGGGTGGCAAGTGCCAGCAGGGCGAGGCAGGGGAGAGCGAGAAGGCGGCCCACCAGCGACGGGGCGTGCCGGCGGCCATCGGCCTTGCCGCGGCGCGCTGAAGACATAGTCGCAGAGCGCAGCGCGATGAGGGGAGATAGCAAAGGTGAGGGCGTAGTCGGGCTCAGAGCGGACCTGGAAACAAGGCGAGCGGAGCATTGCCACCCCAGGGAGCGATCCGAAGGTGGCTAGCTTAAGTAGAGCCAAGCCGTTGCAGCCACGCTCGCCTCCCACCTCCGCTCCCGCCGGCTACTACTCGGTCAAGTGGCACCATGAGCCCTGGCTGTGGAGCCCAAGAGTAGCAGCTACCATAGGCAGCCACACCCTAGCCTCGCCCTGGCTTTTGCTCTAGCCAGACCTTCGCACCGCGACGTCGCGGCGTCTAGGCCATGCTACGATAGGCAGCTGTCGCTTGCCGGCACCAAGTACGTACACTTACGCATGCACTCGCGTCCAGACGAGAGGGGGTCGCCGGTTGCTGCCCAGTCCCAATCAGTCGCTCTCGCAAGCGGGGCAGGGCCGCGGCAGCTCGTGTTGACCGGCATCCTTGACGCCGAGGTCGGCTTTCCCCGCCTCAAGTCGACAGCTGCCCGGCCCGAACCGATGCCTGCTCTGCTTGCGAGCAAGCCAAGCCCCCACGTCGATGCCGTTGACCGTCGAAGGGGGCCCCGTCGCCAGGGTCGCAAAAGTTGCAAGAGACGAGGCAAAAGAAGTGTGTGGGGGATCAGATCCCAGACCGGCAACGTTGCTCGGGGCCCCACGACGGCCCTGTCACGGTCAATCCCCGACCGGTCAACTCGTCCCGTCGCACAAATCTCGTCGGCCACGGTCGCGGGCGCCGGTACCAGACGATATCGAGCGCTTCGTTGCACCGACAGACATACAGGCGCTGGCTGGTAACAGCGAAGGGCATCAACAGAGCCGCTCGTCGCAATCACGTGAGGAGGTTCGGCCGCTCAACCCCCCACGCTCTTGGGATGGATGGCAAGACGGCGAGCTCGACTTTGCGGATCGGATGGGCCATGCGCGAGATGTGAAGCACGCCCCCTTCCGCTCGAACAGAGGAGATGCGGGCTTGACCAGGCACCTTCAACATCCTAGATCGATGGAGCAGCAGAGCGAGACTAGACGGCGTCCGAGCGTCGACTCCCAAGCTAAGCAGCGTGCACAAAGCCGGGACGGGCCGTCGAGAGCACCCCAGAGCGAAGGCCAGATGCGCAGGCCTCAGCCCGCTGCCACGCTGTCTCCGCAGCCGCTCGTAGGCCTGCTTGCTCATCGACAAGGTCGGAACAAAGAGCCTGGCGGCATGACACCGTTTCTGTGAACATGGGACTCAACTCGTGAGCGGCGCTATAGTCGACCTTGCCAACTCGCAAAAGCCGATCCTACCGAGACGGCATCGAGCCTCGAGCGTCTCTCGTTTGCTTGCTCTTCAGCTCGCTCAGCTGATCCGTCCCGCCCTCGCAGCATCTTGGGGCCCTTGCGCAGCCTCGACACCTGCGCTCTCGGTGCGCGAGCCAGCGCTGGCTGATTGGCCCCTGCCGCCACAGATGTGCCCTTTCATCGCCTGTTCTGCCGCCTTTTTTGATACAAGCTGTAGCGCTTCAGTCCTACATGGCGGTGTCAGTGCCTGCCGTAGCTGCCGCTCCTTTTGTCTGCTGGCTCCAAAAGACCGGTTATTGAGCCTGCAAACTCTCATCATGCTTCAGTGACTGTGCAGTCTTCAACCTTCACACCCTGTCAACTTGAATCCACCTACCTAGTTGCTTGATGTTTGTCACCCTGTGCCATGGTGGTCTGGAAGAGCTGGGCCTCCTGTGAGGGCCAGATCACCCTGTCCACCCCCATCAAGGCAGCCTCTGGCGATGCCGGCAGGATGATGCTCCAAAAGCACCTCAAGGCTAATCAGGACTTGTACAGGAAGGCAGCAAACTGGTCAGACGCTAGCCTGGAGGAGTTCCAGATGGAGCGCTGGCTTTGGGACAACTTCCAAGAGTATTCTGGCACGGTGTACAAGGGTACGTTCTGCATGCCCTACCTGGCCACCTGGAGGTTTGCTTGTGTTCAGTCTGGCTGACATTCACCTTGACTGCCTCCCTTAGATGAGTTCCCAGACAATGCTGTTCATGAGCTCCCCCTTGGGGACATCACCTTTGACATCAAGGGCGTTGATGAGCTCTTTGATCGCTGCACTCATTTCCTCATGTTCATCCTCAAAGAGACGCCTGGCCGCTTTGGCGAGAAGTACTTGTGCGCCAACACCTTCCGTGGATGGGCTGTTGTCCTACTCTATGTGATCATCACGGAGCTTCGTTCCATCGATTGCCTGGCTGGGGTGCTCATCTCTGGCTGGCAAAGCAATGGAAAGGACAACCTCTTCTGGTGCGTGATGCACTGGGTTCGAGCGACCGCTGCAGACAAGAAGCTCTCGAGGAAGGCACCCAAGCGCCGCCATTACGGCAAGTGGGAGGCCTCCCTCAACATCCAGGGCATCCTCAACCGAGCCATCTTGCCGTTCAATTTCAGCTCACAGGGCAACAAGACCAAGATTTCCACCATGATGCAGATGATCACAAAAAAGGTGTTTGTTTCCTTCAGCAACACAGATGATCCTCCCTTCTCACTGTTGTAATATCCCTTGCTGAGGCAAGAGAGCCTTGATGTGCTCTATTGTGATGCCATCAATCAGCACTGTGCTGGAAACAATTATTGCTCACTGAGAAGGCTTCTGCTGCTGCAGCTTATGCACGATCAGCTCCATCCTTGCTGCACTTTCTGCTTCCTCATAGCACTGTTGTCAAAAGGATCATCTGTCAGCTGCACGCAGCCAGATAGGGTCTGTTGGAAGCAGATCCTGTTCAAGTCTGCCAGCTGTGGAAGAGGCCTGAAGAGAGAGCTGGACTGAGGGCTTGAGCTGGTCACAGCTCTCCATTATATTGCAACAAGGATTCTGACCACTGTGTTGAGCATTGCTTGGACTTGTCACATGCCTCATGTCACAACACCAGATCACGCAGCACCCCTAGCTGCTTCACCTTCAGTCATCCATAGGACTGTTGCAGAGCTTGCATGAAGCCTAAAAATGTTATGGATCAGTGAGGATGATGGACTGGCTAGCCCTTCACCAGAACGAACGGTCGGGCGTGAGCAGAGGCCAAAGGCATGATGGCTGGACCCTGCCTGCGCCCGCCGGCTTTGGCTGGGCGCACCTGCCCCTTTAGGCCGCCAGCCGACCCGCCGCCATTCCGCCCGCCCTGGCGATCCGAATCCTGCATCGAGCCCCTATCCCTATCCCTAGCTGCCATGGCCCGCCCGCTCGCCGCCTTGCCCTGCTTGCCTGCTTCCTCGACCTCACTCTGCCAAACTCAGGCGAGCAGCCTGGGCCGTACCTAGTTAGCATGTCTTCCACGGGGCACATCGAAGCGCCCGAAGCGGCCTCCGTTCCCGACTGCCCACGACGGCCGGCCTCTCACTCGCGTTTGACATGACAATCGAAGCGGTCGCCGCAGCCCCGAGCCTTCTACGACCACCATCCACCCACCTGTTGCCACACACCCCGGCGGGCCCCGTTTTCGATTCGCCTCCTGAGCACGCTGACGACGACGACGACGGCGACGACGACGACGGCGACAGTTGCCATTGAATCACAGCGCCGAGCACTGACAGCGGCATCTCTGCTGTAGACGCGACGCCGGACCTGCCAAACTCCGCACGCTGCTGCACTGCAAGCATAGGTCCTCACTCAACAGCGACCAGCGATCAGCGTTCGCCCAGCCGCTGCCATCCTTGCCTTCACCACCACGACCTTCGCCCTATGCTCCTGCCCAGCCACGCACATTGACGACCTCGCCACGACCGATACCCACGCCTCTCGCCCCACGCCGCTTACGATTGCCTCGCCCTGCCGAACCAGACGCGACGCCCTCTCGACGACCACCCATCCGCGCACTCCCATCTTCCCTCCAACCACTTCCATCGCCCACGTCCAGCCTGGACTCACAACCCCCCATGGCCTCTTCGCAGCCCTTGTCCCCGGACGGCTCGTTCGAGGGGCATCCGTCGTCCGACATCTTGGCCGCCCTGGCCGCCCACGCCGGCCAGATGCAAAACGTCGCGTCCGAGTACAGGACCTTTCTCGCCTCGCCAGACCACACCGGCACCTTTCAAGACCACTCGTCGAGCGACATTGCAGACGCGGTGACAAAGTACGTGCAGGAGCACCAGGGCCAGGGATGGCCGTCCGACTTTGAAGAGGCAGCCGCCGCAGCCCCGGCCTCGAACAACGTCCTTGCGTCCTCTGCCGCCGCGGCCGCCGGATCGACGCCATTCAAGGCGCTGCCCGCCACGTCGTCGGACCTCTCGACAGCGGGCGCCTTCTCCCTCGCCGCCGAGATCCGCGCGGTACAGTGGATCAGCGTCGTCTTCTGCTTTGTCTGGATCGCAACGGGCTTCCTCCTGGTCCTCTTCGGCTGGGCGTCCTGCTTCTGGGGGGCCAAGATGGGCTCGTCGAGCCAGCGCATCGACGAAAAGGCGCCGACAAAGGCGCGCAAGAACCGCGTGCGCCACGTCATCTGTTCGGGCCCGCCGCTGGCGGGCGGCGTCGGCGGGGCGCTCCTGGGCTTCCTCTTTCTCTCGTTCCTCGCCCTCGTCGCCACCTGCGCCATGTGCGCCAAGGACTCGTCGAGCGTCTCGAGCGCCGCGCTCGTCGTCCTCTGGGTGCTGCCCGGCCTCGTTGGCGCGCTGCTCGGCGGCCACTTTGCCTTTGCCGCGCGCGTCTTTGCCGGCCTCCTCGCCGGGCCCTGCATCGCCGTCGTGCTCACGGCCATGTTTGGCATCCACACGCTCATCATCCGCGTCGCCGTGCTGGTCGTCTTCACCTGCCTCTTGACCGCGCCGCTGCTGGTGCCCAACCGCAAGGTGCTCCACTTCCACCTCGTCAACGCCTGCACCTCCATCGTCGGCATGACGGTGCTCCTCGACGGCATCGCCCTCTACGCGCCGCCGCAGCCGAGCTCGTACGCCTGGATCGACCTGTGGGTCGTCCTCTTTGCCTGCGACGCCTCGGCCTCGCTCAACGCGGCGACGAAGAAGTGGGGCAGCTCGTGGTTCAAGGGCTACATTGCGGGCGCCGTGCTGGGCGCCGTGCTCGGCTTCATCTTTGAGCTGCTGCTGCACCGCTACGCCGCGCAGGACCCCGAGTCGGAGTGGAACGAGTACCTCGGCAGCTACACGGAGCGCTTCGAGAACAACACCGCCGGCTTCCTGCCCGGCTTCCTCGGCGGCGGGTCCATCAGCCAGCGCGCCGGGTCCTTTGAGCCTTCGCCGTCGCCCTGGAGCCGGCTCGGGGGCATCTTTGCGGCCGGCGCCAGCAAGCCGGCGTCGTACGGCAACATCCCCTCGTCCGGCCAGGACCTCGAGCGCTCTCCGCTGACCGAGCGGCCGGGCGGTATGCGCCAAAAGCCACGGCGCAAGCCCCGATCCCGCCGCGCCAGCGCCAAGACGGCCAACAAGGGCGGGCCGGCCAAGTTCTCCGCCCTCTCGAAGCGCGACGACGACGACGCCTTTGAGTCGGACTCGGATCTGACCGAGTACGACAGCGACGGTCCCTCGGCACAGAAACTGCGGTTCGACGGCGACAAGGAGGGCGACGAGCAGGACGACCTCGTCTCGCCGCTCGCGCAGCTCCAAAAGGTCTCGGCGACGTCGCCGTCGCTGGAAAACTACCGCGGCTACGCGCTGCCGCGGCCGCCGTCGTACCGCACGGATTCGCAGGGCGCGAGCTCGACGCTGAGCGGCTCGACGGCTGCGTCTGGCAGCAGTGCCGGCATCGGCTCGCGTGGCTCCGACGGCGGACTCACCACGCCCGGAGTCGCGAGCGTCGAGGCGGAAAAGGCGTTTGCCGTGTACCGCGACGGCGATGCTTCGCCGGTCAAGCAGCGCTTCAGCTCGCCGCCGCCTGCCACCTCCTCGCCACCGCCAAGCGCAGCATCGGCGACAGCAGCTGCGGCGGCGGCATCGACGGCGGCTGTCCCTGCCACGCCATCGCTCATCAACGCCATCACGCGCATCCAGGCCGCACAGGCGCAGGCCAAGGCGTGGCAAGAAGCCCAGAGCCTCGCCACCGCAGCGGCGGGAGGCGACGCCGCTCCGTACGGCGTCCAACCGCTCAGCCCGCCCCCGGCCACCAAGGCAAGGCTCGATGACGGGCAAGGCGACGTCTCCCAGTCCGAGGCTGGCGCTCCAAAGACGTTTGACAGCTGGTGGCAGGCAAAGGTCGACGCCAAGGCCGATGCGCCGCCACAGTAACGTGCAAGGTGCTCGCTCCCCTGCACACCCTCCCGAGTCCGCCTCGCCCGTCGAGCGCTTCCCCCGCTCCCTTGGTCGCTCTCGACGCCCCGTCTCCCGTCCCCCATTCCCCTCCCCTCCCCTCCCCTCTCCTCGGCTCTCTTGCAACGGACACTCTTGTACCTCTACCCTCGACTCCTTGACCCCCTCTTCCCCTAACCTTCCCTCCCTCCCGCCGCGGAGCCACCGTGCGTGCTTGATACATGATCGCTTCCAGGAAACCCCTCGCAACGCCTGCGTCCTCCACCTAGCATGCCCAGACGGCAGAAACAGATCACCACGTCCGGATCCCTCCCGGCATCTGCAAAAAGATCAGGTCCTACCCGGATTCGAACCGGGGGCGAGCGGAAACCGAACATCCCTTCAATGAAGGGGATTCTGCGCAGGCGAGTCAGAACCGCTAGAGTTGACCACTACTCCATAGAACCCCTTGATGTTGCGATCCTCAAAAATTGCATACATATAGTATGTACTAGACCGCCGAGCCACCCCATCAGCCGGCGGCCTGGCCAGTCATCGGATGGGCTCGCTTCCACCCCACGCACGCACACACGCCCCGGCCCCCGATTCGAGGGAAGGGTCAGCATCAGGCACGCCCAGAGGTGAGCCTGCGGGCGCGTCGGCAGCGAGCAGGCACGCAGGCAGGGGCTCGAGCACGGCGCTCTCCGGCTTACTCGCTCTGCTGGGTCATCGCCGATGTTCCCCGCCGCGGGCTCGAGTCATAGCCGGGCCCGACAGCTGGGCCGGGGGACCGGCAGGACCCCACCGGACTGGCCACGCTTGGCTTGCCGGCGGTGGCTGTCGAGCAGTGCATCCGACCTGCCCTCCCCTTTGTTGGGGCCCCCAGATTCGAGCGGGTCCCTCGTTTCGCTCAGCAGCCAAGCCCGGCGTGACGGGTGGACGCCGGTTCCCCCCGGCCTCTCGCTCCCCATCACCCGAGCCACGGCCGAGAAGTCACGCAAGGGCGAGGATGTTCACGCCAAGCCGTACGTGCCCTCCGAGCATGTCTTGCCGATAGGGCCGAGTTCTCGCGCTTGGCCTAGTCCTGAAAAGCCAAAACCTCCTGGGCGAGGGCGTGGGCAGGCCAGAGGTTGTCGAGCACCCCGGAAAGTGGTCCCGGGAGCAAAACCGGGCTCGGAGCGGGCCTCGTCGCGGCTAGCTTTCAAGCAAGTCGGCCCTGCCTCGGGCTCGAGAGGCTACTCGGCGGACCAAGCTGGCGTGGCGAGGGGGACCACGCGGCGAGACGAGCAGGCAGGCGATGCCGCGCGGCGGAAGAAAAATGGTGCCCCCGGGGTTAAGGGGGGGGGGGGG